TTATATATATATATATACATAGCTGGGCATTAACTCGTTAATCCGTTATCGTTAATTAACGAAGTTAACATTTTGATTAACGGTAACTTTTTAAGTTAACTTTTGAAAATGTTAACGGACACGTTAACTTCCGTTAAAATGCCAGAAGTCCGTTAATCGTTAATCCAATGCCCAGGACCGTGCCGGCCAGCGTGCAGTGCGGCAGTCGGCACCGCACGCAGGCGGCCGCCTTTTTAGACGGCCGAGGCGGCCAAATGAAAAAAAGAACAAATTCAAAGACGGCCATAACAAAAAATGGTCGAAATAAATAGCTGTTGCATTAAAAGTCTACTGAATTAAAAGGCGGCCAAATTAAAAGACTGTTGGATTAAGAGGCGGCCAAGCTCAAAGTCCGCTGAACTCATTCGCTGCCGTAAAGTCCGCTGTATATATCTAAAAGACCAAAATTACCCGTAGTAAAAATCAGCCAAAGGCGGCCCTATGAATGCGACTCTGTTTCTAAATAATTTATAAGTTATAAACTTGGTGTAAGTGGCAAACTTTGCCTAAATCAAGTTGCATGAAGTATCCAACATGTGTTAATAATCGACTAACAATGAAAATATATTAATTCATGAGTACATGCAATGTGAAAACTATCGCAGATTATTCAATTTTGTACAAATTTTTCTAAAATATATTAGTTATTTTTATAAATAGTTTAAAAATTACATATTATTGAACAAGAAACAAACTGTAGTAAATTAAAAACAAGATCCAAATTTCCAAAGCAATTTGTTAATCAATAACTGAAAAACGACTCGTCGATTATTGACAAAATTTAATCAGCAAGATTCTCAAATGGAAACGTTTGTAATGGTTTTTGAATTTTTAAAATCAATTCACTAATTAAAAATTTGAGACTTTTTTGAAAATTCTAAAGGCAAAACTAAGCAGCACGAGTGCTTATCGAATTTACGAATTTTGACGATTTTTCAAATGGGATTGTGCATTTTTGAGAAAAGGTCCACTAAAGATGAAATTTTGACTCACGTAAAAAAGTGCCGCTCATTTTTGCAATCTTTGATAGTACAGATTTAAAAATTAAAATGACTTAATGTGGGTCGAAATATTTAGTTATCTTAGAGACCATGATCACTATCGCCAAAAAAGTTTTATAAATATCATCGTAAAGCAATATTCACCAATTAAACACGAAGAAACGAACCGACCCATCTCTTAGAAGTAATCAGCACAATTCCTAAATGATATCTTTCAAACAGTTCCTGAATTTTTAAAATCGATGCAGAATTTTTGGCTAAAACGTGTACAATAAATTTTATATTTTTCTGTTGATTAGCAACAGCTTGGCCGATCGTCGCACAAAACTGACAGGCGCTAGTCATTATCTAGTTACATCAAATGACTTTTAAACTTTGAATTGGATTTAACCGTTTTTGAGAAAACGTTGCCAAAATTAAAAAATCGGCTTTCAAACGATTCAGAATGACTTAAAATGTCGAGAAAACTTGAAAATTACAAGACGATTTTTTTCGTGAGAACATATTGGATATTTTCCTATTATGCTATTTTTAAGGGCGGCCATTTATATGCTCGCACGCAGGCGCCACATACCCAGGCACGGCCCTGCCAATTATTACTATTTACCGCACGGCACAGCTTTAGCCAATGCCTTATTAAATGACATAGAGAAAAGATTTGGACCACTCGTGAATGATGAACAGTGCCAACATGTTCAAAGACTCTTCAACGATGCTGCATTCCTCGGAACAGATATTCATAAATCAATTTATTAAATACAATACTGCTATACCCTCAAGCGCTGCAGTTGAACGTTTGTTTTCCCACGGGTAAAGACATTTTGACACCAAAACGAGCCTCGCTTTCAGACGAGAACTTCAACATGTTAATGTTCATGAAGAGAAATATGCACCTAATACCCGACGCTTAACCCGTCGCGCGTTTCCTATTTTTCGCAAAAAAACTCTTTCCCTTTATTTAGAAAAAAATTCTTGTAAAACAATATGCAATCATAAAACAGAAAGTTGACCAATAGCGTTATATCACGGTGTGTGCATAAAGCGCGTCGCGCCATTAAGGGGTTGAATTACACATTTGAATTATACAAGTATTTTGTTTTATTCATAACCTGTTAACTTCCTGAACCTAAACCAATAAGTTTTTAAGTTCACTAACGCAACAATATAAAATGTAATTTACACATATTAACGGATTAACGATTAACGTTAACTTGCGTTAATTATTCCGAAATGTAACGCTTTAACGTTTAACGAAGCTAACTTTTTTTGTAGCGATTAACGATTAACGAAGTTAACTTTTTGATTAACGTGCCCAGCTATGTATAATATTATATTATATATATATATATATAATATATATGTATTATATGGGGTCCTTAATATGGACATTTGGAATTTTCTTCCAAATTGAAGAAAATAATTCTCTATAAGTTTTAACTCTTATTATTGTCTTTTATACATTGCGCAATACAATCAAAGTTTTGTATAGAAATAGCATGAAAAACTTTTAAAAATTTAAAAAATGTTTTAGATATAACTTAGCAACAAATGAATAAGAATATTCAAAATTTGACGCTCTGCAAACAAATTATAAAAAACCTATTTTGTAGAGCGTCGAATTTTCAATAAAAGATGAAACAAATTGTCACTCTTAATTTAGTTGTCGCTAAGTTATACCTAAAAAACATTTTTAAAATTTTTCCATTTTATTTCCATATGAAGCTTTGATTGAATTGCGCACTATCTAAAAGAGCTAAAACTTTTAGAGAATTATTTTTATCAATTTGGAAGCATTTATGCCCCTGGGAGCAAGGAATTTCGAAAATGTCCATATTAAGGACCACCCTATGTATATATATGAATTAGTAGTTAATTTTGATGTTGAAATATATGAGTGAGTTCTTGAGGGCGATACATCAAACAAAAAATTCAAATTCTTTGATGTATCGCCCTCAAGAACTCACTCATATATATATATATATATATATATATATATATATATATGTATATATATATTAATGTTTCTGTGTGTATATACAATACTTTTTATGATTTTATGTTTTTGATAAAATAGCCTCCTTTTATTTGAAAAAAAAAGTTTTATTTAAATTTATATCGTCGATATTGGATGTCAAGATTGGTAGAAACAAACCAAAAAAAACTTAGACATTTATACTCTTTATTTAAATTTGAAAGAAATCACCTTTTATCTTTGAAGTATTTAAATCAAAAATATTTTAAATTAATAAATATATATATATATATATCTATATATATATATATATATATATTATATATATATAAGTAAATATAATCAAAATATTATATATGCATTGATTGTGAAAAAAATAACTTAAATGTATACATTCAAAATCTTTTTATTTTCATGAAACAAACTTTCCGTCAATGCCTATAAAAATTTAACAGAACTTATAAGAGTGTTTAAACAATATGTTTTAATTATACATATTAAATATTTTTTACAGCATTGAAGGATTTAACAACAATTACGATTAGTTTTGTTTACTTTGAATTGATTGTAAACAAAATTAGCATTTCAAATGTTTACATGAAAGTTTTTTTCAAAACAATTTATCATTTACAAATATACATAAATAATACACATACATTAAGCAATAATTACATAAACTGCAATTAACAATGAAAATTACATTAAATATAATATTTACACCATGCTCAAAAGAACTAATAATAAATAATTAATAAACTTAACTAGATTATAGAACCTACTTCGACATTCTTAAATTTGTAGTTTGCGCTTATAAATAATAATACATCTACAGTTAAATAATAAATGATTAAAATTAAATCAAACCAGTTGAATCAAAATGAAAAATACATGTTAAATGGGTTTTGTAGTTTTTAACAGTATTTCAAGTACAACCATACAAATTCATACATTGTTCATACAATCTAACTTTAACGTTTGCTCTATATCAACAAATGATTCCCCGTTCCATCGTTAAAGATTTCCTTGGTATATGACAACATTGGCCCCCACATTGCGAACAAAGCAAACAAGTCACAGTGTACGCCACTGTATTTTCAAAATTACCCAAATTAATATTCTCTTCATTCCCTTCATCGTTTTTATCATTTTCAGTCTGTTTATCCTCCTCGCCATCCGTGTTGTCTTGTTGGAACTTTTTGCACAAGCTCAGAACGGTGTTGGAGGTGTGCAGCGCTAGATGGCTCTTTCGAGACACCTTTGGTGTAGTTGGCGCATCAGGAAAAGATATGTAGACAGATGCTTTTGTTATTATTTCTGGGTATTGGATTTTATCTTCGATGTCTTTTATATTCGTGAAACCGTTGGTACAAATTTCGTTTTCGTCTTCTGGTTCTTCTTCTGACGTGGTGTCTTCGCTCGGGGTTGAATCGTTCTGTAAAGTTTCCTCGGACGTTGATTTTGCCAAGGGTTTTTCGATCTCTATATTCGAAGTTTCGATCAACCAAGGATGATCCAGGCATTGTTCGACCGTAGGCCTTGATCTAAAATAATAAAAAATGTTCAACTAGTTGTAAAATACGTATACATTATCAACTTAATCAATAAGATACGAGATTCAGGTATTTAGCTAAAATGTTCAACTGTTATTTCGAAAATAATATGCGATTTCTAATTGATGTCTTTCAAATATACTTATACCAATATCTGTAATTGTATAAGTTAAACTAGTGGGGCGCATGGCACCGTGCCTTAAGGCAAATTGCTGAAACTTCCCGTACTAAAAATAATTTTTTATAAAAAAAAAATTATTTTCGAAAAAAATTACTATGAAAAAATTAGATTTTTGAGTAACTATAAATTTTTGATAAAAATTTACTTTTTTTGAGAAAAAAGACTTTTCGAAAAAAAATGTTTTCTTTATTTTGAAATATTTTAGAAATTCTGAACTTTTTAACTTCCCGTAGGGCAAGTTATAGTAATCGCAAAAAAATCAAAAATGAACATTTTTATATATCTTTACGTTTCAGAGGTTTCTGAACATTTTGGCATACCTTAGAAAAAATGGATGTATGTGTGTGTGTATGCATGTATGTATGTATGTATGTATGTATGTATGTATGTATGTATGTATGTATGTACGTGTGTGTATGTATGTGCGGATACAAATTTTCGTCGACGATTTCGGGAACACGGATCAACCGATTTGAATAATTCAAAAAACATTTGATTCGTATTGATAAGGAGACGTGCTGATTAGTTTTTGGCGAAGGCAGGTCTAGCCGTTCCGAAGATACGGGGCAAAAAGTGCCGAAAACGGTAACTCAGTTTTTAGGAGAACGGAGCGTCCGATTTGAATAATTCGAAAAACATTTCACTTGTATTGATAAGATGAAGAATCGATAAAATTTTCATGAAGGTAGGTCTAGCGGTTTCGGAGATATGGAGGAAAAAGTAAAAAAATGAGCCATTTGGCGGTCAAAAATGATCATTAGACATATGCACATCAAATTATCAGAAATTTTATAGAGATTTCAACAATAAGTATATATTTTGTTAACATTCCTATGGGTTCCGTAACAATGCTCATGCGTTAGACAGCGACTAAATATGTCAAAATAAAGAAAAAAAAATTTTTTTTCAAAAAAAAAAAAATTAAAAATTTTTTTTTTTTTAATTTTTTTTTAAAAAAAAGTAATTTTTTGTCCAATTTATAGTTTCTCAAAAATCTTATTTTTTCAAAGTAATTTTTTTTCAAAAATGTTAATCGTTTTTAAAAAAATAATAATTTTTGGTACGGGAAGTTCCAGCAATTTACCTTAAGGCACAATGCCTTAATTACCTTAAGACAGAATTCCACTTACAGCTAGTTTTCAAAGCAATCGTACTGCTTTAACTGCATAGAGATGACATATCGAAGCGCGTAAACGCCGCGTCGCAGCCTAATGGATAAACATTAGTACGGAACGGATAGGAATGTAAACAAAATTTATACTTATTGTTAAAATCTCTATAAAATATCTGACAATTTGATGTGCATATGTCTAATGATCATTTTTGACCGCCAAATGGCTTTTTCATACTTTTTTTACTTGATCTCCGAAACGTCTAGACCTGCCTTCCTGAAAATTTGATCAATTTTTCATCTTGTTAATACAAGTAAAATGTTTTTTGAATTATTAAAATCGGACGCTCCGTTTTCTTAAAAACTGAGTTACCGTTTGTGACATTTTTTGCCCCGTATCTTCAAAACGGCTAGACCTGCTTATGCCAAAAACTAATCAGCACGTCTCCTTATCAACAGCAATCGAATATTTTTTGAATAATCGAAATCGGTTGTACCGTGTTCCCAAAATCGTCGCCGAAAATTTGTATCCGCACACACATACACATACACACACATACATCCATTTTTTTAAGGTATGCCAAAATGTTCAGAAACCTCTGAAACGTAAAGATATATAAAAAATTTCATTTTAGATTATTTTTGCGATCACTATAACTTACCGTACCGAAAGTTATTTTATTGGTTTAACACAATTAATTTCATCCATTTCAGATTCTAAAAATTTATAGACGTAAATTGTAATCAGTAGCTACAAACGAAACGGCATAGATCCTGATTAGAATCGGTTAAATGCGCAAAAAATCGGTCCAAAATTGTGGGCTAAAACGTGGACGACGTAAAAAAAATTTAAACATTTCTGCTAGTTACAAGGTAACTGATAAACGCTTGTCCTTTTTGAGTTAAATCGAATAACTTTTAATGTTTTTAAATCGGTTCCATACATGCACACTATTCACATTAGAGGTGGGTCGTTGACGGTTTTGCCGTCAACGAAACGAAACGGTTATCGGGGTTTCGTCAACTAGTTAAATAACTAGTTATTTTTCAACTATAGTTATTTTTAACGATTCAACGCTGGCAACGTTAAGAAACTGATAGTTGAAATAACTGTTTCATTGAAAGTTGGTAATATGAAGTTTGTTCTTATAAAAGTCAAGTTGACGTTGGATTTGATGAATAAAAAGAAATAAATGTGAATTGTCACATTTATTACACACACACACACACACACATATATATATATATATATATATATATAATAAATAAAGGTTTAATTTAAAAAACTTAAATATTTTTATTACAGCAAAGCCATATACTAAAACATCGAATTTACATGTTATATAAAAATAGAAATATAAAAATGTATAGTTATATAAAATGTTATGAAAAATAAAAAATCAATTTTCAGGTTTAGTTTAAAAAAATTATTACAAGACAAATGCTATGAGATTTTTATGAAAAATATTAACCATTGAAAACTATAATAAATGTAACTGATTTTCTAAAATTAAACGATTTGGCGCGTGTTGCAAGTTTCTTTTAAGATGTACATGTACATCTGCAATATTATAAAAGCAGTAGCCTAACAATAAGCGATTTTCATAGTATTAGTTGATCCTTTCCGACGCAGGTACCTGCCTACGTTCGTTTTCGACAACGAACGAATTCCTATATCGTTGAAAAAACTAACTGGCCGCCATGTTTTCAACTGCTTCGCAACCAGTTGATTTTCAACTAGTTATTTCGTTGCGACGAAACGGTTAGTTAGGTTGAAAATAACCGTTCGTTGATTCAACGCCCATCACTAATTCACATACACATACTTTAGAGACTGAATATTCCACTATGTGCCAAACTAGTAGAATATGAAGATGATGTAGCCATAGTAGTTGCTGCCAATCAAATTGATGAGATCGTAGTTCTATTTGACATAACATTGAGAAAAATTAATCCCTTGATGGAAACAATGAACCTACAATTAGCACAATAGAAGGGTAAACTTGTTCTTTTTTCAAGTAGAAATATAATAGTCTCTATTATATCTAGCTGAAGATAGTAAATATAGAGATCACGTATATAACCTTATGTATGTTACCTTGGCGAAATGCTTGTTTCTCAATTAAATCAACAGGTGGAAGAAGGTAGTGCTGAAGCGTCAGTACTTAAGACGAGACTTGCTCGACTGATGTCATCAGTGGTTACTTCGGTGCTAACATATGGTATTTCCGTATTGGCTGATGCTCTCAAGACTCAAAAATCGCGGAGAATGGCAGGACATATATGTCGTTTGAGTGTCTTAAGAGTTGCTTGCACATTTCGCACAATATCGGAAGAAGCTGTGTGCGTCATTTCAGTAACTCTGCCTCTATAGTCTTAGCAGAACAAAGACGGATAATTTAACAACAAAGAAACCAACAACCTGTCCTGAAAAGTTGAGATTAGAAAAACGGCAGAACAGCATTGACCGATGGCAGCAACTGTGGGATGTCGCAGTGAAGGGCAGTGGACGCATAGTCTCATTCCAAACATCAAAATCTGGCTAAATCACATGTATTGAGTTAATAAAGTTAATTATAGTACTACGCAAATGCTATCTGGGCACGGCTGTTTTCGAGCTACCAAAGTGCTAATAGACCTGTATGCGATCTTCGGAAAGAAGAGCGAATGGGAATAATTACAATATAGGTATAAATTCAGAGCAATAATTATGACATTCTAGATCCTTCCCTCACAATGTGATGCCTAACGGCGGTTTCCGTGATGGCCAGAGGCAAGGGCAAAGCAAAGATTTCAGGCGGTATAGAGTCCGGGTATGCCATACGAAATACCAGTCTGGTATGCATAAATGCATTTCCTTCGCTATACAAAAAAATACACATACACATACACACACAAATATATATATATATATATATATATATATATATACTTTTTCCAATATTGGTTTCATTCAGAATGACTTGAAACGTCGAAGAAACGGAAATAAATATGTACTTATCTGCTAATTGTAAAGAAACCAGAGTCCTTATCGAGTTTTATCAAAAGGTTTTAAAAATTTTGATATCGCAACCGTTTTTGAAAAATTTACACAAAAGGTCAAATTATGCTTCGCAAACATTTACTTTTTCTAATTTTCGTCTCAAACAATTCAGGATCACTTAAAACGTCGAAAAAATAGATATATAGCAAATCTGATTTTCTAGCAAATTTCTTCTTAGAAAAATTAAAAATATGAAAATTAAAAAAAAAATGAATCAGTTTATCAATCGACTTAAATATCTCAACATGGTGAATCCTTTGCTAATTGTTTTCTCTTACCCCGGGTGTAAAACGAGACAGCTCCTGACAAAGTCTTTGGCAGTTTCCGAAACGTCTTGAAACAGATCTTGAGGAAACGCCAATTCATTCTGTGTGATGTTAAGATAGGTTTCCTGTTTGCTGTCACCAGCAAATGGTGAGAAACCTGATAAAAGGACATAAGTCAAAACACCGACAGACCAGATATCCGTAGCCAAGGAGAGACGTTCATATTGGAGCACTTCGGGAGCTGAAATAAATTATAGATGTAATTTAATACTCTGACTACGAAAGAAATCAAGAAATGTCGCAATCAAATTTTCCAATAATGATTATATTTATGATATAGTTATCGTTTGTTCTGATGTATTTATTTACTCACCGACATAATCAGGAGTACCCATAATTTCTCTGACTTCGACACCAGGTTGGATCAGTCGAGATATTCCAAAATCACACAGTTTAACATCACCCAGAGTGTTTGCTTTATTGTCACCACTGTAAAATAGAAACAACAAATAATTAAAATGATATATATATATATATATATATATATATATATATAAACTATTCAGAGCAATAATAGTAAGATGGCCATAATTTTGAAACGTAAACTTGAAGTTGTCCTTCTTAGTAAAAATTAGCACTTGTGCCAATTAGTCAAAAAGTTCATTTTTTTAATTTGTGGTAATTGTCGTAAATTGAAAATGATAGTTCAAAATTGAAAATCTGAGAGACTATTTTAACATGCCTTTAGAATTTTTTATTCTGTAATTTTCTCACTCATAAAGTATTGTTTCGTATAAGCATACTCATCGTATATATCATTTTCAGATATTTGATGGGTAGATATAATTTTATTATCAATTTTAGTTCACCAACATGCGCTTGTATGTCCTGAAAACGCAGTCCCTAAAATTTTATAATTCAACTACTTTTCGTATGGCTATAATATAATATTTTAGGATATTCGTTCAGACCATGAACTATATCGCCATTGTAAGTTCCATTAAAATGCATTTTTTATATTTAATTACAAAAAATAGACCCGGGCAATCTTTACCAAAACCTAGTATAGTCAGCACGAGTCCCAAATGATACTTTCGAATAGTTTTTGGATTTTCAAAATTGGTCAAGGATTATTTACAAAAACGTGAACAAAGTATTTTGCACTTTTCTGATTAAGCGGTGCTTAATCCTTAACGAGCTTCATCGAATGACTTTGGAATAGAAAAATCGTTGACGAAAGGTCAAATTTTGGCTCGCGTCAAAGAGCTCATTTCTCAGATTTTTTGTGAAAACAAATTTCTCATTCGTAAAGTTAAAAAAAAACAAATTCAAGTGTTATATTAGAGCAACAAATAGTAATAAATTGTATATCACTTTACACATCTTCGGAATGTTCTCTACTAATCAGATTTTATTACAGATGCTATGACCTAAGTTCCTTACAACAAGTATAAGTAAATCACATTTTCTACTAATCAGTTACTTCGACTAATTATTTTCTCTATACTAACCTGTCTTCCCCTTTGCATACTAATAAGTTCTGTGGTTTTAAATCCAAATGAGCTATGTTGTGTGCATGAAGGTCTCTAAGACCCCGAAGAGTGTGTCGCAGAGCCCTACGAGCATCCACTTCACTCAAATGCTCCTCTTCATCTAAAAGATGCTGCAGCTCACCTCCAGTAGCCCTGAGAAAAAACTCAGTTAAAAAACCAATTATGGGATAAGCTCACTATTTTTTTATAGTGATTTGAGAGAGTAGGACCAAAAAAGAATAATAAGCCTGTTCTTAGCTCTGTTATGTTATAGGACAACATGCTATTTTGAGATTAGTTTTGTGCCATTGTCAACATCAGATAATCAATTATAAATATTGTAATAATAATATTATAATTATTGAATGCATAGCATATTGACAGTTTGGGGATTACCAATACATCAAGCTAACATCAATAAAAATAAGATACGTTTAAATAAATTGGCTCCCAGAATATAAATTAATCTTTAAAACACTCTTGAATTCAAAACATGTAATGTTAGTCCGGAAGATTGTCCGGGAGATTGATAATGTAGCTATGCCCAAGAAATGGCTCATAAATTATTATAAGAAAATATCAGTTTTCAATTTTGAAACTTTTATTAAATTATGTGGGATATGATACAATATATATGTACATGTTTTCTACCCTAAGGGTATTTTATTACATTTATAAATGTTTTCAATTTCAGTTATTGAATACAATTAAAAATAATAAAATCTATACGTAACAAAAAAGAAAAACTTTTAGCAGTTTCCCAAAAAAATTACATTTCAGTTTTTTTTAAGAAAGAAAAACGTAATAAAGTATTCAACTAAGTATAAAAGAGGGAAAAAATTGCAAACATTATCATAGACAACAACTGGTTGATACAGAGTCATATTCAATTTTTTTTCTTTGCCACTATGGTTCGAGCGGGCGATATTGGCCAAGGGCCTGGATGTCGTTGTTCGAGTGATCCTTACTTTTTAGGTAAAGCTTTCAGTAAGCTTTTCAATTTGATTGAGTATCTGTATGTCAGTCTGTTCATGTATGTATTTTGTAAAGTAATAGTGTTCGGTCAGTGAGTCCCTTGATTTGTTAAAAACTAGTCGTAAGGCTTTTTATACAGTCTGTAGGTATCTCAGATTGTTCTTTGTTGTCGTGTTCTATGCTGGAGCAAATATCTTATTCAACCACATTTATTAATGTACTTACAATTCCAAAACCAGAGCGACTTCTGCCCTGGTTTCATATACTTCGACGAGCCGCACTACGCGTTCCGATCCAGAACACAGGTCCAGCACCGCCATCTCGTGACCGATCTCCCTACTGGTATCTGCAGCGCGGCGCCTGCGCCGGATGAATTTTCCTGCGAACGGTACACCACTAGTTTTGTGAACGAGGCGGCGGACTGAAGCAAACTTTCCTCTAAAAAAGAAAAAATTAAATTAGGAAACTGAACATTTATCTTTGGATCTCAAATTAGTAACGATCAAAAGATAGAACTTTACTAACAAGGATAAAATGTAGGGAATGTGTGAATAAAAATGGTGCTGATTTATGATCTTTAAGAGAAAGAAAACACTAATTAAATTGCAGGATAATTTCTGGTACTCTCGCTCTCTTACATTTAATATAAGAAACTCTTGAATTATTTGTGAACATTTTAAAAATTTTTAGAACATAATATATTTACTAAATAAACGCTGAAATTTAAGCTAAAACGTTTGAATTTCAAATAACACTTGTCATAAGATTGCTAATCAATTAGTTAAATAAAACAGAATGACTATGTAAATTTTATATTCTAATTAAATGTATCAATACAATTTATCGAATATAAAAATAATAAATATTTGTTCTGGATGTTTTAGCACTGGATATGTGTCATCATTCAACAGAAAAAGAATTAAACTTAAGTTACACGTACGCTTTACAAGTGCACTTTTATTTTGTTCGTCGGTAATTTGAATTTGAAAAGAGGATTCATGCATGGATGCCTTTTTCCCACAATTTTAAAGTATCTTTTCAAAACAAGCGCACACGCCTATATATTTAAATTAAAAACTCTTATTTATACGAAAGAACATTAAATTTTAGTAAAAAAATCTTTGTGAACTCGGATCGGAAGATCTGTAGAATATCCTATAGAATAATAAATATTCCTAACCATATATATTCAACCTATGTCGTTGTGTAATGGTTAAGAACATAATCTAACTATCTTATTATTAAAATTACTATATCATTAAAAACTATAGTGGATTCGATTATAGCATCGGCCAGCTCGATATCGAGCAGTATGATATCAAATTTCCACTTGAGGTTGTAGATTTCAAGTAAAATGCGCCTTTCATGGGCATTGCAGCAAGGCATACACACCAATACTATATACACACACATATATATATATATATATATATATATATATATATATATGAATGAAGCAAAAAAATTCGATTGACGAGAAAACAAGGTTTTATGTGATTAGTTTTTGGTCAAGTCAGATCCAGCCGTTTAGAACATACGGGACAACAAGTGCAAATAATGGCAAGAGTAAGGCGCATCCAATAATTCAAAACACGTTTTACTTGTGTTGAGGAAGTGAAAAATTGATTACATTTTTAGAAAGACAGGTCCAGCGATTTCTGTTTATCTCGAAACTGTCAAAAGGCTGTATCTATGGTGTTTATGCAAGCGATGAGATGATTCACATTTTTTATACAGTCAATGGGTGAAAATTAGGTAGCATCTGTTTTTGAACCGCTCAATGACATTTCCATGTTGTAATATAACATAAAACAAGTAATGAGAATAACTATTACGCTTATAATAACATTTTGAATGAAATGAGAGTGACTTTACCATAAGATGTCCGAAAATTGGCCCATAGTATTTTCCGCGGTCATCGCATGGTAATATTTTACGTTTTATTTTCAGTAAATGTCGAAAACTTGTCAAAAATGTTATCAAGTTATGAATATTGATCGTTTATATATATATATATATATATATATATATATATATATATATTTATATTTATAAGTACAATATGAATGTTTATTCTGTGGGATGTTTAGTTTCATTGGTAAGACAGGTGGCGCCAGTCGATGCAGAACAAAGGATTCGACTTGTAACGCTTTTCTATTTATAGTTCAACATATATTCATATGTCGTAAATATTGTTATTTTATTTATTTATCTGCTCAACATACACGCATTGTTATATATGCACAGAGAAATAGAGAGTTCTATTTTCCTTCATGGAGCCAGAGATTTTGTTTGCGTATCAGTAGAGTTCAAGTTTTCTTTTGTAAGTCAAGTTTGTCCATCCGTAGATAATCTTTCAATATTTAGTCAATATTGTATTGGTTCGTCAGGAGAGTTTCCTCGGACGATATGTTCCTCGATCAATACGAGTCACGTTCCGAATTGTGAGGCATATAACTAGTTGCTATATAATATATAAATCTAGTTATATATCAGTTTTGCTTGTCAGTTGAGTTCTCGTTTTTCTTATTTAAATCGTGTATACTGTCAAGCAATAGTACTAAGTCGATTATCGGTTTGCAAGTGGAGTCCTTTTTTTCTTCCCTAAATTGCGTTTGATCATCAGAAAAGTTACCTTTCTTTGAGTGTGTATCTCTTGATTTTTTCTTGGACGAGCATTTATTAGTTACTTTTATGCAAGCAAATTCGGCTTGTTCGTCCGTAGCGTTTTCTTTGCATTTTCTGAGTCAAGTTTGTTCGTCAATAAAAACCTATTTCGTTTTATCAGAAGACTTATGGACCAATTCTCCAGTAAAATAGATCGTAACATAGCGTTGTTACAGAGGTAGGCATTTGCTGTGCAAGCAGGCGTTTTAGGTAAGATAATATAGATAATATAGATATACATTTATAACACATACATAAAGCTAGATTTCACGTATAAAATCATCGCACAGCGAATATATAACATTTTGACATTTTTAATACGATTTTATAGGAAGTAAACAACGTAACATAACGTTGCCATAACAACGCTATGTTACGGTCTATATCTCGAGGCATTGGCCCGTTAATTTGATCAATGGTAGAGTTCTTAGAGTTCTTAGAGAGTATAGTACAAAGTAGTTTTTATAAGGATTCAGTTTGGTCATCAGTAGCGTTCTTACCTTTCTTCACTCCCGTCGGTTTTGGCGAGACAAGATTCAGTTTGTTTGTGAGTAGTTTTATTTTATTTTCCTTAATCTGAGTTTCTTCGTTAGTAAAGTTTGATTTCTTTTTATCGAGTGGCGACTTATAAGATAATTCTCGAATAATATAGCCATGTCATATCATAAACGTCACAAATAAGAGTTGACGGAAAGATTTGGTACTCTCAGTGCACCTATTTTATTTTAAGAAATCTAATTTTCTTGATGTTGCCTCACAATGTTCTGGTAGTAACGAAAACTAACCAATGCTATTTAGTTTGATCGGTAGTGGAGTTCCCCTTTTCAGAGACCACCATACTGTTTAGACTTGCCTTTAGCGATTAAGAATTATATACATAAAACAAAAATTTCAATACTTTTATTAACAGTAAATTATAATTGATTAAATAAATTATTTTATGAACAGTAAATTATATTGATTAGGTTTGCTTGGCATCCAAAGAAAGAGTCCGCCCTAACTTCTGTTCTAAAGGGCCCCAAAATACAGAATTGTAAAGTCCAATATAGAAGGTAGAAGCTTGAATATGAGTTTCACAGAGTTAGGTTGTAAATAAAGGTGGCACACAGACACAGATTTTACTCAAGGCGTTGACATAGGTTCCATTACCACTTTGTTTGTCAATAGTGTTCTATTTATGTTATAAAAAATAAAACTATTATTAATAAGTTCTAGTGTGTGTATGTGTCAATTACACAAGTGCATCCCGGTGTTACGTATTAGTTGCATATTATGTTCTCGTTAGTTGTGTCATTTAAATCTTTGGTCGTTACCCCCTTTAGGACGTGTCGACAAAAACAGGATCTCTTATGCAAAACGCACATTTAATCCAATCGACACACACAAATACACACATACTCTGACACACTATACACACAACATACCCATAACGAACACACACAAACATTGACAACACTAAATGCGAACGGCCTTGAACTCGGCGCATCGCAAGGCCGTTGCATTCGCGGGTTCAAAGTCCTTTCATTGAGGAAAAACGGAGCCAAAAAATTATCTTTATGTTTGTGTGAAATAACAAACAGCGAAGGTTTCGATTAGAACGTTCAAATATTTGATTTTGTTTAAGTACAGAAATGAGTTTCGAAAAGACTTGATCTGCATTTGTCAAAGACTGACCAAGCATTCCATTTGTCATCACTAATCAAATTTATTTTAGATATTTCGAAAATAATGGCAAAACATCGTGTCACGATTTATGTTGAGTTCATGTAGAATACCATAATCTACCTGAGCCATTCCTACTTCGACTCGGATTTCAGTTAGTACAATTCTGTGGCTTTCATCGAGTTTATTTTAGTTTTTTTTTGCTCAACAGTAGTCTCTTATTAATATTTTTAGATATACATAGTTTGTTCTCCTATATAACTCAATTTCTCCCAATCTAATCAATATTCAGTTTGCACATTCTATTTTATATAATAGAGTTTGGTTTTTAGTACAGTTCTGTACAGTTATTCAATTACACATTTCATATTCTATTTGCGCGAACAGCTTGATATCAAGAAGTAGTGATATTAGTGTTCACTTAAAATTATAGATTTAAATATGATTTCTGGCACACACACTTTATATATTTTTACGTTTAATGACATACGTGGGAAAAAAGAGCGCACGGTACTTGATGACTCACAATAGCGGAACTGATTGATGTCTTTGAACTTTAATTTCGTTTAAAGTGGTAAATAATAATGAATTAAAGGAGAATAATAATATACAAATGCCCATAAATATACATGAGACATTTTAAATTTAAACTAGTTGTATATGGTGTGTAAGTGTACATTTATATACACCCAAGAAAATTGTTTCTCAAAAGAATTTTATTTCTCCTCATCAATTCGAGATACAGTTTGTTGGATAGTAAAGTTTTAATTTAATTACTTGAAGTAGAGTTTGTTCAGTCCTTCGTTCAATGAAGTTATTATTAATCTCTTCTTTTTTAAATCGAGTTATTTATTAGTGGATTTTATTTTGTCTTTGGCGATCCGTAACGAATTTGCTCGTCAGTAGAGTCTTTTTTTTTATCAACTCATATTTATATTTGATTTGCTCGTCAGTAGAGTTCTTTCGTCTCCACCATCCAGCAGCACGTTCTCCTTTCTAACCTTGGTAGACCATTTTATCTATAACATCGATTTCCAGCTCCACTACATCTCGAAACTGTCGAGCCCTACTGCAAATGAAGCACTAAAAAGTTTTTTAAATCGAAATTC